GAGCGAGTTTGTAGAATGGCGGCTAGGTGACGCAGCGTCGAATGCCGTCGCTGCTTCAAGGTCGCTCAGTGTGTGAGCGCTGTAGACTGCTGGGACTCCGGGCCACTTGGGGCAGGGGGCAGCAACAATATCGTCGTCAGACGTCTTGCCATCCAAGCTTACTCGCCTGTCCGTCATTTGTCGTTGCAAGGTGCGGTTTCACATCCTTGCTGCGCTATTTCCAGGTGCGGTTGCTGGATGTAGCACGGCCGCGGCCGTGATTCGATTCATCAGTAGCGGCCCTCCCGACTCCATCAGCTGGCCCATCTCTACTGGTTTCGAGCTGTGCATTGACACTGTGTCCATCTTTGCCATCGGCCGGCCTCAGGGGGTCGTCTCGGGCACCCTGCGGGCTGTGGGGGTGGAAATTCAGGACCCCCTGGGATTGGAACTGTCATGGCCTCTCGTCTCCTCGGGCTTCCACCTCGGCATCGACAATGCCGTCGGGGCCCCGCTCAGATGAGGGCAGGGGCCACCGTGCCGAGCGCAGGATGCAGGACTGAACTGCCATGGCTGCCCGTCTCAGTAGGCTGTCTCGCGCATCTGGCCGTCGGCCTGAGCGTCTTTGGATAAGGGCCCATTCCCTGTCACTAGTCATGGAAGTCAGCGCTGCGGCGCCTCTCCTCGCGAGCTCTTGGCCCTGCGCCAGAGCCTTGGAAGGGTCATGGACACCTCGGCTGGCCGACGTTCCCTTGGCGCCCAGGCTTCTGGAGTCGGATTCCGCCTTGTTCGCGCAGGTGGTGCGTGTTTGCTCATGGCGCGTGGGGCGTGGCTTCCTCCAACGGTCCAAGTCCTTGCGCGAGGCTGCCCTTTTATTTCGACTCCTAGGTTTTGCTGGGCAATTTCTTATATATACATATACTATTATATATTGTTACCGCGCCGCGCCCGTCAGGTCTGTCTGGGCCTCTGCGCCCGTCTGTCTGTCGCCCGTCTGATCCCTGCGCGGCTCCGCTGGGGGGTGCCGCAGTTCAGCGGGATGCTGGGTGACCTTGCGAATGGGCGCGAATTGCCTTGTTTAGGGTCCAGTTGCGCGCCGCCGTTTCCCAGGTCCTCGAGCGACAGGTCAGGGTCAAGCAAGACTTCGGGCGCCGCGAGTGCTTCGATGCGGCCAGCCCGTGCCTCGCCTTTTGCAAGTCTACTCCCCGTCGGGGGGGCGCCTTGGGATCGTGCGCCGCTGGGCCTATGTGGACTTGTTTGGCGACCTTCGCTCGCGGGCGCCAGTTCCCATTGGGGCGCGGGCGCAGTCGGGGCCCCGCGTGCAGTATCTTCACCGCGTCTTGATGCGTCTTCATTTTGACGATTGAACGACGGGGTGATGTCAAACAGGGCTTGATCGACAACATCAATTGTTACGCGTCCAATTATTCGCAGTTGCTTGCCATTATTACAGGCGCTTTCCCCGCCCTGGCGACTGCGTGCCCCCGCCCGTTCAGATGGCAGATGCCGTCTTGGATGCCGCCCAGTGTTTGGGCCTCCCTCGCTCCGGCCTGCTGTCCGTGAACAGGGCCTGCTAGGGCCGTTCCCTCCAGGAGAGGAGTGGGCGTGGCTTTCCTCGCGTGCGGTCAGTCTCTCGCGTTGGGTCCCACCGGTATTGCGACGATGCCAGCGTGTCTGAAGAGTTGGCTATCTGGCGCCGGGGGAGCGTTGATGCCGGCGAAACTGCGAAGGCTGCCCTGGCTGAGCCTCCCCCCCCTGATCCCGAAGCCGAGGGGGCCCCCACTAAGCGCATCGAGTGCGCCAGGGCTTCCTGCGTCTTTGTTGTGCATGTGTTTCTCCAGTTTCAGATCGGGGAGGTAGAGCATGCAGCCTGACGGGCCTCCCTGTCCTGAGGGGCTCCAACGCGATTGGAGGGATCTTGGCAATTCCTGGAAGTATTTCATGCGCGTTGAAGGTCGATCGGCCCCCTTGGCCAAGACGTCCTCGTCATTCGGTTTGCCATGGGATAACGGACTTGCCCTTAGCGTTCATCTCGGATTGTCGCCGCACTTGCATGTCGTTTGGTGTTCGCAAGGGCGCCCCATGCTGCTGCGCGTGAGGTTCAAGTGCTACAAGTTGCCTGGCCGCTGCCAGAATTTGAAGGGCAGGTGCTCCAGGCAGGTGTATAAGTTTGGAAATGGGGTCTGGAGCATGGTGTCAAGGGGAGGCATCCCAACAGGCCTTGCGTTCAGGTCTCTTGCCCCCTGCACCTTTCGGACCATCAGTCCGTTCTGATTTCCTCCTCTGATTCTCAGGCTCGCACCTCCTGTTCCGATCTTCCTTCTCCCGAGAGAGAGGAGAGGGCTGCTTATGTTGCGAGTTTTCTGTTGCGAGAGGCCTCTTCCCCACCAGGATCGCAGTCAGGCTTCTCTTGCTTCGCGTGCTTTTGTTTCTTTTTGCAGCGCGCCTGGGCCGCGTGGCGACCAAGAGCCGCGTCGCGTGCTTTCGTTTCTTCTTGCAGCCCAAGAGTCTCGCCGCGTGGCGACCAACCACCGCGCGGAGGAGGATGAGGGCCCCCTGGTGACGCCCTCGGATGAAGACGACGAGAGCTCTGACGCACCCTCCGCACCGTCGGCTGCCCCGTCGACCTCCGAGCCTTGGCCGCCCCTCTCTCGAGCCGTCGGCCTCTGGCCCGCGAGGCGGGCTGCTGGCTCGCCCGTCCTCTGCCCCTCCTCTCCCTGCGCCCCTGGCCAGACGGGGCGAGCCGCGCGCCCTCGTGCTCGGGCCTCTGGCCGTGGGCGGCGGCCCGGCAGCTCCGCCGTGTGTGTGTGTGTGTGTGTGTGGCGCCGGCGGCCCCTCGCCGGGGCTGCCGCCGCCTTCGCCCTTCGGGTGGTGGGGGGGAGGGGGGGCCCGGCCCTCCCTGGTCGGCCGCGGCAGGGCGTGGGGCGTGGGGGGCGTGGGGGGCCGCCCCTCCCTGGTCGGCCGCGGCAGGGTTGCCCAGGGTATCTTTCGTGCTCCTGAGATCGCCGAGCGCGTTCCACTGCTCGCAGACTGCCTACTCGCAAGCGTCCGAAAAAACAAATGTTGGTTTCGATGTGATTTATCCTAGACCCCCCACGGCGAATCCTTGCCATTTGCGAGTAGTGACTTTGCGAGTATCGGAACGCGCTTGCCTATCAGAGGTCTCCCTGGTGCTCCAGAGGTTTCCGCCGTGGCACCCGTATTCTGCAGCCGATCTCGCCCCGTCGGCTCTGCAGGACATCTCTGTTCGAGGCTGAAGAGTGAACAGAGTCCTCGTCCTCCTTCTCCTGGTCCTCCTCCTCTAACTCTTCCTCCTCCTCCTCCTCCTCTTCCTCTTCGTCGTCCTTCTCCTTGTCTTCCCGACGGGGAGGATTACGCCATCCTGATGGCCCTGAGACATCTAGTAGGCAGGTATACGATTTATTCCGATTGTAAAGGCACAATTCAATGTTGTAGGAATGCCAGATATGCGCAGAGAGATAGCCACACTCGGGCACACATCTGGAGAGAGGCATTCCGTGAAGGAGCGCCCGCTCTGGTGAATTTTTGTAAAGTGGCGGCCCACACGTCGATGACAGATGTGCGCGAAGGACGAATCAGCCACTTTGAGAGGGAGGGCAATGCCGAAGCCGATCGACTTGCGAAGTCGGGGGCGGAGCTATGTCGTTGCCCGTCCAATGTGGTTTTGATGACCAAAGGCATGCTCCATGTCTCACGCCTGCTCCTTCAGTTCATTAGTAGGGCTGAAGGCCATTATGTTCAGGAAGGCAGGTGGGGCAACGTGGGAGCCCAAGGGCTCACAGAGATCTCCCTGGAGGGGGGATCTGACTTGGAGGAAGCACTTGAGGCGTTGAGGAGGCAGGAGGGGGGAGGAGGTGAAGCTGCTGCTGTTCCTGCTCCTCATCCTGACCA